GCATCTAGGCCCAGCTGGAGTGGAGGCAACATGCGTGCAAAGCCAACAGGTGTGGCTTGGGGAGGTGGCACACAAGGCGGGGTGGCTATCGGCTCAACTGGGCCTTATCAGATCTGAGCCCGCCACAGCTTGGCCCCTGGAACAAAGAGGCTTTGAGAGCTGGGCGTGGGCGTGGGCTGTGGAGCTGAGGCTCAGCTGCCCAAGGGGCAGAGGGCAGGAGTGGGGGAGCTGTTACTGCCAACCTCTATCTGGGAGGTTTCCAGGGACATGATGGGAAGTTCAATGACCAGGGTTTTCCCCAGAGCCAAAGTACAATCTTGAGTATATCCTACTTGAATGTAGAGACCATCTCAAGAATAGAGTTTGTGGTGGGGGCACCTTCTGAGGTGGGGAGCAGGGCCTGTGCTCTTCCCATGGGCCTCCATTCCTGGAGTCCAGCCTTCTTTAGGGTGCATCTTCTTTGGACACCTTCTGCCAAGTCCTCAGCTCTGCCCCTGCCTAGGGGGGCAAGGTCGACTCCTCACCTCACCCCCTTTCTCAGTCTTTCCTCCTGGCACCTGTAGTCCCAGCCACACTAGCTTCCAGTCACTGCACCTGCCCTGCACCTCCCCCTCTGTGCATCTACTCATGGTCCATTCACCTACCCTTGCTCAAATCACTCATGTCCCTGAAGGCCTGAGCCACGGCACCTCTAGAAAACCCTGGTAATTGAACCTCCCGTCATGCCCCTGAAAGTCATTCTGCCTCCAAGCTGAGCACTGCAAAGGTGTAAAGTCTGCTGAGCCAGGCAGGCAAAGGCCTAGAGCCTGCAGACCCAGCAGAGCCGTCAGAACCGTCAGAGCCAGAGTGTACAGTTATGCAGGTTGTGCACTGAGCAAGGGCTCACATCTGAAACCCAAATATGCTGCTAGCCTCCAGCATGTGCAAAGCTCTCCCCTAAATAGACTTCTGCCCTCCCTAGCAGAAGGCACAAATAGGAAACTTTTCTAGTTGATCTCCCCAAATACTTTTGGCTAAGTGTTTCAGTGGAAGGGTGCCTATTTCTGGTTCCCACATGGTCAAGGAGGGGGCTGTATGTGCCAGCTATAGGCTCAATTGCCTAAAGGATTATTGCATTCCTTTCACCTCTCCCAACACAGGACTGTTCATTGGAGAACAGCAGGTGTGTGTGTGTGTGTGTGTGTGTGTATGTGTTGGAGGAGGAGGATACGGCACAGCCTTCCAAGAGCCAGGCCCAGAGGTGACGAGTCTTTCCAAATAAGAAGGAACAGGCTCAAGGCCAGTTTGGAGAAGGATACCTGCACAGAGGTCCCAGGCACAGAGAGGTGGTGGAGTGGCGTGCTCTGGCCCCCTTGGGTTGAGGGCAATTGGCAGATGCAGTCTGGAAGCCTCACATCCAGGAGGTTCCCCTACTTTGTCTCTTGGACCCCAACTCTCCAGGTGTTGCTATCTCCAGTACTCCCTGCAGACTGTGGCTTCCCTGTGTGCTTCTGAAGTGAGGAGGGGTAGAGAGTGGAAGGCAGAGAGAGAAGGAACCTTGAAGGGTCTCTTGAATGTAGTGGACCAGCCTTAGGAAATGAGGAGAGAGGATGTTCATGTGGGAAAACCCAGGAGCTCACCCTTATAGATGTAGATATAGATGCAGAGCAGGGCCAAAGTCAAAGGTGCTGGGATGATAGCTGAATTGTGTGCCCTTTCCTCATCCTCATCCAACCTGCCTTCAAGTCCTAGTCATTCTACTCCTTAAATGTCTATGATCTGTCACCTTCTTTCTGATTGCACGGCCACCTCCCCAATCCAGGTCACCAGCTTGTTTCCCCAGAATGGATTTCCTGCCCTCACTGCTGCCCCCTCTGGTTTGTCCTCCATACTACACTCATGAGCCTTCTGAGACAATCTGGTCATAAGCCTCCCCTGCTTCAAGGCCTCCAGGGCCAACGTGTTCCCCAGGCCCTCAGGATAAAGTCCAAGTGCATGGAGCACAGGCTGTGTCATCTGACTCCTACCTAACTCTCCACTACAGCTTTGGCCAAGGCCACAGCCCCCAGAGAGCTTTGCAAAGCTGCTGGTGGTTTACAGCATCCCAGCTTACTCAAGCTTGCAAGCCTTTGCATTTACTGTGTCCCTTGCCTTGATTCCTGGCTTCCACATGCCTGCCAGTCATGCTTCTTCTTGCCCCAGTTGCAGCAACTTTGCCGCAGGGTATCTTCCTAGTTGTCAGTCTCTATGGTCCTCTTACAGCCCCTATGAGTATGCCAGTCACAGCACTTGTCAATGAGGTGGACATCTCTGTCTCCCTACACTTCTCCCTACACAACTAGGAACTGATTGAGGGCAAGAACTACCTCTTGTCCCTCACTGTGACACAGAGAGGTGCCCAGTAAACATATGCTAAATGATGACTAAAGGTCACATGTGAATGCAGCAGCTTTGGGGGCTACAGCTTGGTTGGGCCTCAGAGGAGAGGTGGCACTGGGTTAGCAGCTGCCTGGGCTGGAGTGGCGTGCTTGACCTTCCTCTGGGCTTGGCCATTGTTGGAGGATGGGGAGTGCTTGGTTCTGGTGGGAAAGATTGGGGCCATCACACCGCATAGGGGGATGATGATTTTTGGGGCTATCCCTCTCTTTGTCTCTCCACTCCCACTGTCTCACCTCTCAGATCTGGGCCCAGGATTCCCAGAAAAGCTGCAGGGTCTCCATGCCCACCCCCTACTCTGAGGTTGGTCTTTTGAGGGTCTGACTAGATTGGCATTTGAAAGAAGTTTTTGCTGAACCTTTGCAGGCTTCTCTGTCTGAAAAATGAATGTGTCCCTCAAAGAGGCCTGTCTAGGACAGGAAGATCTGGGGACACCAAATGGCTGTGTGTCTGCAGGGCAGAGTGTGCCTAGGCCTGTTAAGAGAGGCAGACAGTCCTCCCATAGGGGAGAGGCATTTTTTTTCTCTCTCTCTCACTTTTTCTCTCTCACTTTGTCTCACACACTCTCTGTCTCTTTCTCTACCTCTCCTTTCACTTTCTCTTAGCTCCATGACCCCCAGACTCATCCATGCACCCACTCTCACCAGTATCTGTTATCATCATGTGATCTCCCAGCTAGAATTGTCTACAGGGATGGGATGTGCAAGTGAATGAACAAGACTATCTTGACCTTGACCTTATGTTTCTCATTATAAATTAGTACCTGGATATTCTGGTCTCTGAAAGCCTGGTCGGTGACTCTGCCCCCAAGACATGGGTCCACTCTGGACATGCTGACAAAGGGGACTTCTGGGCATGACGTGTTGAGAGTACCTTCCAGGGAGGACCCAGGTAGGCAAAGTTGAAGCCTTATGACAAAAACAGTAGGCCCAAGGCCAGACTGCATGGGTTCTAATCCTATTTCTGTGACTGGCTATATAATGTTAGGCAAGTTTCTGAAACTCCCTGTGCTTCTGTGTTCTTATCTGGGAAAAGGTAATATTAAAAGTACATACCACATGGAGTTGTTATGAAAATTAAATGTGCCTGGTCCTGTAGTTAGTTGTCATTGAGCTGACCTTATGTACGATACAATGAAGTGGTGCTAGGTCCTGTACTTCCTCCATGCTCGTTGGTGTGTTTGGGTCTGTTGTTGCAGCTGTTGTACCAATCCATCTCACTGAGAGTTCCCCTCATTTATGACCCACAGGGTTTTCATTGGCTGATTTGTTGAAGTAAGTCACCAAGCCTTTCTTCATAGTCTGTCTTAGTCTGGAAGCTACACTAACACCTGTCCACCATGGGTGACCCTGCTGGTATTTGAAATACCAGTGGCATAGCTTCCAGCATCGCAGGAACACGCAAGCCACCATAGGATGGCAAAACAGACAGGCAAGTAGCGAGTGGGATCTTAAAAGCTTGCAAGTGGCCATCTAGATGCAATGATGGGTCTCTCCTCATCCAGAGTGAAGAAGAATGAAGAAAACTGAAGATTCATGGAAATAATTAGTCCAAGTATCTGGTACACCATGTGATCCTCAGCCTATACGACTATGAGACCAGAAGAACTAGATGGTGCCCAGCTACCTACCACTGTCAACCACTCAAAATGGGATGTAGGAGACCCTAGATAGAGTGGGAGAACAATGTGGAACAAAAGTAAATCTCACTAAAAAAAATAAGGGCAGTGGGACCAGGTTTGCTGGTCTGATAGAGCCTGATGGGACCACTGAGACTATGGCCCCTAGCTGCCCTTCAGGTCTGGAACTGAACTCACTCTGGTGGCTTCCAGCCAAACAAAAGACAGGCATATGAGGTGAACATTTGCATTAGGTAGATACGTTCCTTGGAGAGAAAAATCATGGGAGAATAGAAAGGCTGTGTATGCACAAGGAGACAGCTCAGGGGACAGGAGTGCATGGAGGGAAGGACACAGGGAAGAAGTAACTATGGGGAGGAAGTGGGAGGGGAGCTATTGCATTGTGGTAAAT